TCACCAATTGGCAGGGGCCATCATAAGTTCTTTAGCTTGACTTTTCTTTGTGTCATTTCAGCCTCTCAAATAGTTATGTAAGATGAGCTTAAGTAATTATATAAACTTAACTCCTCCCCAAATATTTATTGAGCATTTAGGAGGTATACCAAACACTTAGTTAAGTGCTGAAGTGTGTTAATTAACTTAATTTCCCAAGCTCATGGGAGGTAAGTACTATTATTATTTTCCCTGTATAGATGAGGTGTCCTGGTATGATGCTGTAGGATTAGGACTGGATTGGTAATTGCAAGATTGACAGTTCAAACCCATTAACAACATCTTGGAAATGCTATCCAGAGTTGGCATGAGTTGGAACTGACTTGATGAAATTAACACCAACAACATAGATGAGGGAAACTGAGATTCAAAGAGGTTAAGTGACTTATTCAAGGTCACTGGTAAGAAGCAAGCTCAATCTCAAACAGAACAGGTTCAAATCCAAGATGATTCTTGATGTGAACAAACAGCATTTCCTGAAGAGCCACAGCTGGAGGGCTTCCTCTGGGAGGAATGGCAGTGAAGGGGACCTAGGCTTGAGCTGGTCCTCAGGGTTTTCCAGGGAAAGATCTTTTAGGTCAGGCCAAACGTGACCTTTACCTTTCTCTTTCCATGTCAAGGTGCTTTGTTCAGAATTGCTGACCCTGTGGACTCAGAGATGAAGTTTACAGTGAAATTTCCCCAAACAATAAAAATCAAAGGGATGGTTCATAAATCCCAGGAGCAGGAGGAAATCAAGTTATTGAGTAATCGGATATCCCAGCAACATTTGGAATCCCTTGTAAACAGGTGAGGCTAGTGGTGGGCAACAATGAGGAAGGTGGAAAGAAAGAAGGAAAAGGAGGAGGGAGGGAAGGAGGAAAGGAAGGAGGGAGATGTCCATCTTGAGTGCCAAAGGCATCTGAGGGGTGCATTCAGGCTGGTGCAAAGCCAGCACCCTTTTACTCCACCCCCTCCTTTACTTAATTATTCCTTCCTCAGGGAAGGTGCCCCACACTTCTGGGCTGACTCAGGTGAGTACATTTTGCATCTCTTTTAAAATTAAAAACTGAAAAGCTTATAGTGAAAAATCAGTAGTCCCTTGAACTATCCCTCTCTACCCACAGTGTTGCTGGGGAGGACCTTCCAAGTTTTTCTGGGGAAGCTCAGTTGTTGTTTTAACGTCTGTTGTTTCTAGGGTGAGACTAAGTGTGTGTCTGTGTGTGTGTTGTTGTTAGGTGTCATCGAGTTAGTTCAAACTTATAGCAAGCCTGTGTACAACAGAATGAAACATGGTAGGTTCTGTACCATCCTCATAATCATTGCTATGTTTGGACCCAGTGTTGTATCCATCTTGTTGAGGATCTTCCTCTTTTTCGATGACCCTCTACTTTATCAAACTAGATGTCTTTCTCCAGGGACTGGTTTCTACTGATAACATGTCGTAAGTGCATGAGGTGAAGTATCACCATCTTCATTTCTAAGGAGCATTCTTACTGTACGACTTCCCAGACAGGTTTGTTTTTCTGGCAGTCCAAACCTGCTTCCATGGGTGTTGATTGTGGATCCAAGTAAAATAAAATCTTGTCTTTGTTTTTCATCAGTGATGCCAGAGATGGAGGCAGTGATGGGTTCATGGAGAGAGGGAGCAGCTAAGGACTCTAGATTCATGGGAAGAGAGGGACTGAGAGCTGGTGGCCAGGAGGCAGGCTTGCAGAATGTGCCCTTTGGAGGTGTAAACTATTATATATGCTTGAGTGTTTTTTTGTTTTGTTTAAAAAAAAAAAAAAAGCTAAAATGAATAGAGGGAAATATAGAGGGGAATACTGTTAACTCATGGTACATGGAGGGGATTATAGTCATTGTAATGAAAGAAGGTGTATGATTTGTTGAATGTAAAACTTATGATCTGCCCTGTAAACTTGCACTCAATCCACAATAAAAACCTTAAAAA